GATGTGATTGGCGTATATTGTTTTATGGAGAAAATTTTTATTTATATACTTATTTATATACTGTCTGTCATAGAAGTATAACGTCTGACTTGGTTTTTCTTTCTTATACTTTCCGTAAAGACTAGCCTATTTTTTATATTTCAGCCATGCATTTGCAAATATAAATAAACGTTGTGGTTTTATAACTCTAGCATGCAAAATTGACATAATATAGTGAAGTTGGTGTAGCGCAGGCATCACCTGCTACTTGCCAGTGTGGTGCGCTTGTGCTGTTTGATACATAAATGATAAGTACAGTTATGGGAAAAGTTAAAGGTAGCGATAGTGGATATTAACTAATCGTGCTGACACTGATTATGAAATAAGCAAGCGCGTAGAAAAAAACCACATGTACGAAGGTGTAACGTTATATAAAATGTAAAAGAAGCACAAAGGAGCTTGTTTGGCGTGGTAGCTATAAAAGCTAAGACATTTGCAGCAGGAGTATCAAACTACGATGATAAAACTTCAAATACAATCACAGTAAGTAATAACGCCTTGAAATATCGTTTCTACGGGGAATCAGCATTATATGATTATTGACTACTATTAGCAATGAATAAAAAGGACTCAGGACAGAAGTTTGTATTATCAAACATGGGACTCAAAGGCAATGAAAATATATAAAAAAGCATCGGCTAAGATTAAAAAGAAAGCGCATGTCTCTTAAAAATAAGAAATCAAAAGAACGAAAGTTTCGATGATTTCAAAATCCATCAGACATAGGGCTTTTAAATTATGACATAACTCCGCTTTCAAACATGTTGTGTACACAGAAAAAAAACGGAAAAAATTTTGATCGCAAAGATCTGAAATACGTGTGCGTAAAGAGTTGAAACTACTTTGAATTCCTTCTAAACAAGTATTTTGACTACCTTAGATCAAATATTGTTTTACACTAAATCAAATGTGCGTTAAACTCGTAAAGCACAAGCATGAGAGCAACGCTGCCTGTTGTTTGTGCACGCACCGTAGGATGAAATATTAAACTGTAGAAGCTCGTAGATGAGAGATCTTGTAGCTCAGCGATCGTGCTCTCACACCACAAAGCCTGAGATTCGATCGTGCAATATTTCTTCATGCTCTCTGTTGACCTTTGATAATTGTGCAATCAGAGCTACGAAAGATTGCCGTAAACACTAACTTATAAGACGTCATAGAACCTTTGTAAATTGTATGCCAATAACTAAGGTCGTAGATAACAGAAACTTAGAAGAGTGTCAAGCTATACCTGTACTTTTACCAAAACTTTACTTAAGTTTAATTGTTGCTCTAATAAAACAGCACCAATACAATACTATAGAACCATTATTTGACAAGCCTTTAGTTGGCTTTTGATTATTAACATCTTAGCGGGTACTTTACAGGTTTTTAATTGCTACTAGTCAGATACTATGCTACTACTTGACGGGAATTTGGCTGTTACCTCATGGGCTCTTGGTGTTACTTGTCATGGTTACTTGATGTCACTTATCTGGCACTTAACGGATATTTGATAGAAATTTTGCAGGTACTTAGTGGGCACTTGGCTGGTACTTAGTGGATATTTAACGGCACGTGTCAGGTTCTGGATGGGCACACAACGGTAACTTGACATGTTCTTTTCAAGTACTTGACGGGGAGTAACTGGGTACTTGATGGGCACTTGGTTGGTACTTAACGGACAATTGACGGGCACTTAGAGGGTACTTATCGAATATTTGGCGTACCCTAAGTAGGCACTTGGTGGATACTAAGAGGGCACTTGGCATTTACTTAACGGGCACATGACAGGTACTAGGTAGAACTTGATGGGTACTTTCCGGAGACTTGTCAGATCCTCGGTGGGCACTATGTAAGACTTCTCGTACTTGACTTAAATACCGATCAAGTTCCCCTAAGTTTTTATTGAGTACCCGTAAGTCCTGCCAAGTGGCCCTCAAGCTTCTGTCAAGTACCTGTCAATTACATGCTTAGTACTTACCAAGTACTCCCTAATTGCCTATTGAGTGCCTCTTAGGTACCATGGAGGACCAGCCAAGTGTTCATCAAGTTATGTTAAGTCATCATCAAAATCCTGTCAAGTGCCCGTGAAGTACCCGTTAAGTGCTTGTCATGTACCTGGTAAGTACCCGTCAACTACTTGCCAAGTGTCCATCAAGTCCTGTCATGTACCTGTCTATTGCTCCTTAAGTGCACACCAAGTACCTACCAACTACTTACCAAGGATCCGTCAAGTACCTGCTGAGTGACGGTCAAGGACTTACTAAGTGTTCGACAAGTACCCGCCAAGTACTCGTAATGTACCTGGTAAGTACCCATCGAGTACCTGACAAATGCTTCTCTAGTGTCCCCTTAGTACCCACCAAGGGCCCACCAAATACCTGCCAAATGCCCGTCTATTATCTATTAAGTGCTAATTAAGTGCTCATGAAGTAACAGCCAAATACCCGTCGAGTACCAGCCTCATAGTACCTTAATAGTGGCCAAGATTCTACTTATTAGAAGCTAACTAAGGACTTTTCTAATTACAATTTACTAAAGTTCTGTGAAGTCTTATAAGTTAGTGTTTACGGAAATCTTTCGTTTGTTTGATTACTTAATTATCAAAGGTTAACGTTTTTATTATGTTGACTAGTAGTAATTGTGAGTTATTTAACACCATGTTATTAGTCAAATTTTAGTTAAACGGTAATGTGTTTTGTTTTGCTTATGCAATTGAGATTTTCATAGTCATAAAGTATCTTATGCTGTAACTGTAGCAAGTATTAATGACTTCACGATATGCAACAACATTAGCGTACCACCTTTGGCTCGATAGATTCATAGTGCTACACTAACTGGTAAATAGCTCGTTGCTATGCAGTTGTTTGTTCACACCAAACCACACTATGTGGCAACCCGTGCAACTTAAAATTCGATCCAAATGTGCCAAAAGCAAATAATCTTGTAACTGGCCTTATTTAAAAACAAATTCTTCAACCATTTTTTTTGACGGATTTTGATTTGGGATACAATGCTGTATACGTTAGATACCACTGTTTGAGTACTTATCAATGTCCCTGTAAATTAAATGCAGATTGGCACACACACACACACACACACTCACACAAAAATTTATAAATTTATGCAAGTAAAAATTTCCGTTCAATAATTAATCAAACAATAGTCATAAATAATACTACACTTACACTTTTATCATTAAGTGTAGTTTATTGAACTTGGAGTGTACTCACTAATATTTAAGTTCAACGCTTTTCGGTCTATGCAGTTAATAATAAGTAGACTACATAAAGTGAGCCCAGACTTTGTGCTGGAAGAGCACGATCGCTGAGCTATAGTGCATCATCTCTATGAGTTTCGACAATTCAATACTGTTCCGTACTGTGTATGCACAAACTACAGGCAGCGTGGCTCTCATGATTGTGCTTTATGAGTTTAACGCACATCTAGTGTGATACAGTCTTTGATCTTAGCTAGTCCCAATACTTATGAAAAAGAAATTTAAAGTAATTTGATCTCTATGAGCACACGTGTTTAAGCTCCTTTTGTTTAAAAGTTTTTTCTGTGGGATAGATGTGTGTAAAAGGCTTGCTTTACAAGGTGTCGTAGAAGGCTTGCTAACATATTTCCTCTAATAAAAAAATTGATAGGATTCTCTGAAAAAGGAAAAAATAAACAAGAAAACTTAACAAATATTTATAATGTTCTCATCATCAAGGCTCATAGTGCAGTCAACTACGTCATAATGTTAAAATAATTGATAATAAAGCTTGGTATTTTGTTAAAAGAAATAATAAATAGTACTTCAAATTAAGTACGAAAGTGTTTCAATTAAAGTGCGATTCTCCCAATAATTAAAATAAATTTAAACTGTTAGACCCTTGTACTTTGCTTGCAACTAGAATAAAAGTTGTTTCCGCTAATATTTCTTATAATGTTATAGCAAACACTTTCACAGAGTGTAAATTGGCATGGTTAATTTTTTTGGTAGAAATAAAAATGAAATAATTAATGTGACCAAAAACAAATCAGTAATAAAAAGAATTTATATTTTTTAAGAGACAAACCCTTGTATGTTATTTACTGCATTTAAGCCTACCCTTTGTTATATTCATGTGTTGTACATTTATAAATAATTTTAAATCACTTAACATTCGAAAAAATAAATAATTTATTGTTTTTATACTTCTTTAGAAAAAACTTTATTTTATATTCAATACATTTACAAGTTTCAAAGTTTTGTACCTATCTATTAGCAAATGTCTATTTTTTTATCAACCTCTTTCTGTTATGTATATATCCGACCAACCTATTAAACTTACGTAAATGTAAACAACTAATATTGGAGTAGCCAAATTCTATTTTCAATTTGTGATGTCACGTCTCGTGAAATTATTTAATGTGTTAGACTTTAGGTCCAATACTTCATTAGCATAAATCACTGAAAAAAATTTTGTTGATTCTTCAATATGAATGAAAGTAATATTCGTTCAAGTAATTTTGATATCCTTTGACCGAAAAAAATTGAACAGCCATAATTGGCATCCAGGTACCCTGTTGTAAGAAGCGAAAATTGTAAAAAGACACAAGTAATTATTTTAATTTAATTTATATTGTAACTTTGACAGAAGAATGCTCGTTAGTATTTAAGAAAATTTTTTAAACTGAACCTCTGTTACTTGCACTGGGATAAGAAAAATTTCGTTTATTGTAAAATAACCTATGCATAATCAAAAATTTTATTACATATTATGATAAAAAAAAGGTTACTATAATAATTAAAAGTGAATATCGCGAATGCTCTAAAATATTTTTACGACAAGCCCACAATTATGGCTAACAGAAAGTGATACTTGTTGGCTCAATATTTATTTACTACTGTGTTAGTATCACTAATGGTTACTATTTTTTTAGTACATAAGAAAAAAAAACTAATTCACATGGACAAATAAAATATGAGTCATATGATTTTTGCACAGATGGGTTTCCTAAGCCACGAATTGTTGAAGAACCCCATGGTCAAATGAGCATCAAAGGTGATAATGTAACGTTGAAATGCGGAGCAACAAGTACTGCAAACACGTCATTGAACTTCACTTGGAAGCGAGACAATGTTGAATTAAACAATGATTCACTAAAAATGGACTACGTACTGACCTCGTCTAATGGATTAACTGTGGCTTCTTCCGTTCTCCATCTAATTAACATTACTAATATCCAAGCTGGACGTTATCAATGTATGGTTTCCAATAACTATGGAACTTCTTACTCATCCAAGGCTAAGATTAACGTACTAGGTCAGTTTTATTGCAATAATTATTCATCGCATAACACAATTTATGATTCAAGACTATATGTATACTATAAAGAGATAATGAAAACTGTGGTTCTGGGTATTTGTTGTAATAGTCTTGTGCTATCCATTTCATTAAGCTGAACGTAGGTGTAGTTAAGGATGGACGGAAGTCTGTGCAGATTACATCCAGAATATTTTAATATCACATTAATCTAGCTTGCACTTTCCATATTTTAATTCATTAAAGTATAATTATAATATATAAACTGATTTATGACACATAACACCATGATCACAAGAAACTATTCAGAGTATCCTAAGCATCTATGTTGTAGTTGTTACTTTTATTAGTTTTTAGTTGTGTTTAACACTCATGAGACCCTAATTTTGTAGTTTCTTTTTTTTTTTTTTTTTTTTATTTTGTTTCCCGTATGTCTTGCATTTTTATTAACATGTTTCCCATAGATTTTTTTCTCGTAAAATTAGTGGTTTAGTTGTTATAAATTTTTGGAAAACTAGTTTGAATTTTCTTTTATCTCAAAATACTGAAAATTTTAATGAAAAATGTATTAGTGGGTGATCATAGATTTTTGTAAAATCGATTATGTATTAAGAATGTTGAATATTTTATAGGCATCCATCAATGATTAAGGTATGTCAGATTATTACTATTTAAGTAAAAAAAAAAAATTAAACTGTTATTACACTTAAGAATTTCAGTTTTTTATTAATTACATTTTATGCATGCTGAGACCAATGCAGTGGAAATGAGTTAGGAAAACTGTCTTCTTAACCTTACTGTGAACAGCACCCCATAGTAGCTAGTGCCCTCGTTCAGTCAAGTTGAGTGAACTGTTCACCGAAAACGAGCGAGCAGTAGCACTAAAAGTCTATTCAACCAAGCTCTTAACGCTTAATGTAACTGCTCGCCTGATTTAGATGAACAGTTAACCCAATTTATATGAGTGAGAGCATCAACCACTAGGGGGTGCTGTTTACAGTAAAGTTAAGAAGACAGTTTATCCGACTTTTTTCGGTGTAGTACAAGCTAATAGTCAGCGCATGGAGTGATATAATAGTGCTAAAGTTGATTTGTACGGAAGCAGAAGAGCTTTACATTTTATTTGTTAAACAACGTGTACTACGAATATTAAGTCACAGTTTCAGAAACATAATATTCAAAAACTATTGGCTTACTTATTAAGAACAATATAAGGGCATTAAAATTAATTGACATTCGCAGAAAAAGTGTTTTTGGCAAAATTGAAATCCAACCTTACACTATCTGCAACATTTAATTAAAAATAGTGATCCAAAGGTATGCATTTTTTTCGTCATAAGATCCGCTCAAATAATCAAATATTCACTGTTTTTTGGTACTTTTTTAACTGACTGAAGTACGTACATCTTTTTGCTACGTTATTAACTACTTTTTGACCATTTTTTCGAAACTGCATGCAATCTTTTCGGAGAAGGCATTTGTAAAAATCAAATAAAATTCTTTTCTCTTCTAAGTCCTGACTAACTGACGGGCCACTATCTTAGTATTTTACTTGTATATACTGAGTACCTTTCTATCTTGAAATGTCTTCTTAGTTTTAATTAATACAACTCAAGGTTCGTACACGTATAAATTTATTCAATAATTTTTTTCCTGTTTACAAAAAGTAATAATAATGATGTATTCTGAAAGGTCAAAAATTATTAGTATATTAGATATTTCCCGTAAAGTATTAATCATGTGCATAAACATTATAATATTTTTCAACCCAACAAAATGTGTATTGTGAATCCAGGAATAAGAAAAAATTTTGTATTGGAAAAATATCAACAACTCAAAGTGGTTGTGCATGTATCATGTCTTATCGATTGAGGACTACATGGAATATGTTTTTGCATTAGATTTCCATACTACAAAACTTATAGGAAACTATTGGTCAAACGATTGTATGTACTATTCAATTTGTCACTATTAAAAAAATACAAAAGTCTTAAAATGTCTACCGTTATAGTAGTCGAAAAACTTAATTGAAAAGATTCTGGATTTTACATCAGCTCCAAAGAAGCATTTTTATCTTATGAATTGGCAGTATCTTTAACAACATTAAATTTTTCTCAAATTTATAAACTTTCATAATTCCTTGTTAGTCGCTGCTCTCACACATGCAGCCTCATGGCCTTACACAGTTAGCTTTAACGATATTTTTCATTCTACATGAGAGTACTCATGGTGATAATAATTTTCGGCCAACTGTCTTTTACGTTAGAACCCAAATCGACGATCTTTTATTTCTGGTTCCCTTTTCTAAGATGAGTCTACGGTGGTTCAGGTTACTCAGGCTTAGTATAGCTTCATTGTTTTTTAAGTTAATTCGCCCAAATTTAGCAGATGGTTTGAGTCACACATTTATATAGTAGGATAGGCCAGAACAAATGCAGTTACCGAATAAACTCGGGAATTAAACCAGCGATTTCGTTCACAAGTCGAGTATCCTATTTACTTTGCTACAAGCGATCCCGATTAGAAAAGACTTGCTTCTTATTATTATAGTGGGATTAGTAACTTATTTTTAATATAAGTATTTATTAACTATTTACGAATTTTTTTGGTATGACCGTACGTATTATTAATTAATAAATTACTAATTTTATTACATAATTTTTTTCTAACAATTGTAAAAAACGTTTTGTTAGTAGCTTTTTTCTACATTTAAATATGTATTCGTCAACTTTTTAATAATTTTTTCATTTTAAAATAAATGTATAGATAATTATAAATAAAAACGTTTAGTTTTACTCATAACTAAAAAAAAAATTTCAAGCAGTTTTTTATTTTGTAATTTTTTTTATTAATAGTTTATTCGTACAAAATTGTTTAAGTATATTAATTAATTTTTTTTTTCAATCCATTATGGTTTGTGAATTCGTAACTAAGGTGATTTTTTTGACTTATAAAAGTTCATAACATTTTGCGCTGAGAAGGTTCAGAGGAATATAAGAATCGGAAATATACACCTCTGCTAGCAATTACTCTTCTCGCACGGATACACCTTTTGAGTCCGTTTAGAAATTAGAAACTAATACCTTTTTGGTCCGTTTAAAAATTCAATAGATTTATTTGACAGTTATCTATTATCAGAAAAAAAACTTAGAAATTTCTACAGATCATTTTCTTATAAGGGTAATTCTTTTACAAATTAAACGAATTTTGGCCTTCACCTCTCTGATTTGGCTGAAATTTCTTTTCCAGTTTCTATACTGAAAATAAGAGATACGTGCCCGATAAATTTTTTTTTTATCGCCTATTTTCAATTTTATGAGTTATAATAAATTTCATAATAGTGGTTTGAGACTCATTTTAAGCAATACATAGCTCCGAATCGTTAAAAGCTACAAAATTTTACCAATGGCACTTTTGTACCTAAAGAGTTGAACTTTAAGAAAAAAAACTTAAAAAAAAGATTATCAACTAGTTAACATTTTTATTACCATTTTAATGGTTTTAATCGATTTTTAACAGATGCCCTCAAAATAAATCTAATTTTTATTATAACTATCGTATTCTGCGTTCAAATTTTACGTAAAAATCATGTTTTTAAAATATGGAGACTCTTTAACTGTTATTGTTAAAATATTAATTTATGTAGCGCGTAATGGTAAAAAAAATGTTTTTTGAGTATAAAATGATATCTGTACTTCGTATCGAAAAAAATTGAACGAAAAAGTTGTAGATAATTAAAAGATCTACAACTTTTGTGATTACCATTTGTCAGTATAACCTCAAAATTTTGTATTATCATGCAAAAAAGCGAGAAATCACTATTTTGTCAATTATCAAAAGTAATTTTTTACTTGTAAAACGGAGATGAGCAATAATAACTGAAAAAATTATATTTTATTGAATTAAGGAAAATGTGTAATGAAAAACTAAGTAAACACTGTAATTGCTTGATATTTAATTATAGATATAACAAAATTTTTATGTACAAGTGAAACTTTTTTCACAGTTTTATAACAAAATTATGTCACTTAAAATTTTTCACAATATTAGTTTTTTCGAGCAAAGAAAACGGCCTCGCTTCTAATTCTTGACGAGATAGTGGAACCATGCTATGATATTTAAGCGTTCCCTTAATCGTTGTTGCTCTCAAAACTCTCTCTGGCACTTATTTTCTTTCTTCTTCGTAATATTTGGCAGTAATTCTGTGGCCCAATCAAAAAATTCTCGTGGCGTTCGAATGGGATTGTTAATTCTCTGAAGACTTGTTCTGGCAGCTAGTCGTTTTACAGTCCCGCCTATTCCGTTGCATGGCCCCTTTCCATGTGAAGTGGGGAAAAAATGCCACTCTGCTGCTATTTTAAAATCTTTAAAGTGAGAAGTGAGATTAATGAAGTCCTTATTATTTTTATATTGTCCACTCGCAGTGTCAGACATGTATATTATTTTATTAACACACGGTAAATTTATTTCAATGAATTTAATTAACTGCTTGTGATATTCATGAACGGCAATAGTGTCGTGATGTAGGCATTCAGAAATGCAAACGAAGCTTAAAATTTTTAATTCATCCAAGTCATTCCTATAATAAATTGAAAATGGGTGTACGATTGCCTAATCGTTTTTCCAATGTATACCCTGAACCGAATTTTGAATTATAAAAGCATAAATTTCTAAGAAGTCGCAAATTCCGATACACTCGTTTTCTCTCAGTTTATTTTTAACTCATTTACAAAATCCCTTTGTTTGTTAACAAAAAATGAATGAATCAACAATTTTTGCAACCCTACACTTAACTTCTGTTAAAATTCATCAACTGGAGATATTAGAGCCTGCAATGAAGTTCTTTTAACCGTTACCCATTGTTTGTTGGTAACAATTTCAATACATTATTCTTCAAAAATATCCTTTAGTTGCTCAATAACATTTGTTACGCCTGGGATCTTCTTACAAGAATTTAAATAACAATCAGTCGTTTTGTTAATTCATACCATACGATCCAA